GAGGGAGGGCGGAGCCGGGGGCGGAGCCTCTACTCGCGGGGGAGGGGCGGGGGCGGGAGCCCCGCCTCCACCTGAGCCGTCCCCCACCCCCACACGGGAATGGATGGGGGAAACTGAGGCTCGGGTCAGCAGGCAGTCTCAAGGTCAGTCAGCCTCTTTAGACTTTGAAGACGAGCTCAGGCTTGATTCCCCAGGGAAAACTGAGGCCAAGGACGCACCCAAGGTCAGCGAGCACAGCCGGCCAGCTCCTGTCTCTGCGTGCGATGCAGGCCAGACCCTGGTCCGCTCTGGGGTTCCTCCGCGGCCTCGAGGACACCGCGGGCGGGGCAGCCGCTGACGCTCACCCCGCGGGTGCCACCCCCTTTCTCGGCTCAAGGTGCCAGATTCCATAATAAAAGTGTGCTCCCGGAGGCCACCAGATCTCTGGCTCTGTCGCTTTCTCCACCTTTGCGACAGAAACCTACGAGTATGTGTGGAAGGGCTGGGATCATTCTGGGTTCTAAGCTCAGCCCCTGTCCAAGCCCTGCTAGTGGAGAAACTGAGGCACAGTCAGGCAGCGAAAGCATTGTAGATAGAACCCCTAGTGGCTTCTGGCGACCTCACCCCCAAAAGATGCCCTTTAGCCCCTTCAGCGTAGTGAGGGCTCCCAACTTTGGTGGTTTTTAGAGCTCTCCAGGGGACCCAGCTCAACTTGTGCATTTGCACACATACCTGGCTACCACACGGAGCTCCTCTCTCCTCCCTCGACTCAGGCCTCAGCTATATTCCACCCTCCAGCCCAGCTCTGAGGAAATATTGGCTGGGGGGGGGGGGGTGCTAAGCTTGTGGCCTGAGGCTATGTGGTGAGGCTTGAGCCAGGTGACACTAGATCTGACTGAAGATGCCCACCCAACTTCACCACAGAGCAGAGAGGATTTTACAACCGGAGATCCAGGAAGGCCAGCAATACGGGGGAAGGATGGTTGGAGACCAGTGGAAAGGCAAATCTCATGCACGGGACTCTTCCGACCTTCTTATGTCCCCTCTGGTCATCCTTAGGTTCTCCTGACCCCCACCTCATTTCCCTGGACCCACCTAATTTCACCCTTCAATCCTTCTGACCCCTCATAGACTCTTCTAGTTGCCTCTGGGTTGCCTCCAGACCACCTGAGGTCTTCCTGCTCCTTCTTAGGTTCTCCTGGACCCTTCAGGCCTTTCATGGGTCCTCAAGGTCCCATCGGCTTCACCACTTTTGGCTTGCCTTTATGCTGAATTAGCTACACCAAACTGGTTGAGGGTCACAAGGCTGGAGCTATGACTTGTGCCTGCTCACAGTAGGTGTTCGTGGTGTGAGGGGTGTGCCCTGCCAGGTGCACGTCCTCGTCTGACACAGATGGGCTGCCCCGACCCTGAGGGCTCCGGAGCTTCCCCTGACAGCCCTCTGGCCTCCACTTTTGAACATCAGAGTTGACAGAGCCAGGCTGTGGCCCGCCCCAGGGCACATGCCTGTTCCAGATGAAGGGGGATCTTTTATGTTCACCCTGGGAAGATGTCAGCCGGGCAGGTCGCCAGAGCTCCAAGGGCTTGCGGCTGAGTGCGGGGGAGGGGCAGCTTGGCTATGGGCTGTGGGAGGACCTGCCATGCTAGGAGACTGCTCTCTCAGCCCAAGGGTCACAAAGGATGCTAGGACTCAGGGATCTGGCCTGCATCTGCGCTTGGGGGTCTTGAGGAGTCTCTACAGTGGGTCACTTGTCTTCGATGAGGAGGAACTGGACTTGGCTGCCTGGTCTCCCCACAGCTGTATTGACACCTGCCCCAGTGTTTTTGCAATATTCAATAAGTGGCGCCTCAAGCCTGCAGTCACAGATGGGGCTGTGTGTGCATGTGTGCTAACACACACACACACACACACACACACACACACACACACACACACGTGTTCACATGCAGAAGCCAGAGGTCAGCCGTGGCTGTCATTCCTCAGGAGCTGCCACCTTATTTAACTATTTGCTTTTTCTTTTTTAGTGTACTTCCTATTTTTCCTATTTTTATTGTTTGTGTGTATGTGTGCCACATGCAAGAGAGTGCTGGATCCCCTGGAGCTGGAGTTGCTTGGAGCTATGGATGATTATTTGCCATCATGTGGATACTGGGAACCAAATCCAGGTCCCCTGTGAGAGCAAGAAATTCCTTTAAACTGCTGAGCTGTCGCCTTTCTAGTTTTTTACAATTTGTCTTATGCCAGGTGTGTTTTATGCCCACGCCCGGCCTTAATCCTAGTCTTTGGAAGGCAGAGGCAGGCAGATCTTGGGAGTTTGAGGCCAACCTGCTCTACATAGGGAACTGCAGACTAGGGCTACTTGCTGAGATCCTGTCAATTAATTAATCAATAGCTGAGTGTGCTCACAAACACCTTTGATTTCAGCTTCACCCTATAACCCTACCACCACCACCACCACCACCACCACCACCACCACCACATACGGCAACACCACTTCATCATGACCTTTGGAAGAACAAACTGATGACTCTAGGGATCAAATTATTTGCTTCAAGGGGCTCCTTTAGAATCTTTTTTAATCTCCCTCATCCCCAATCCCTCTCCCTGCCCTCCCAGCACTAACCAGTCATTAGTTCCTCTTCAGTATTCTGGGGTATTTTGGAGACATAACTAGGCCAGGGCAGGGGCGGCCTGGTCGGGAAGCTGGCCCTAGCAGCATTCAGCAATCTGAAGTTGGACTCTGGCTGGCAGGGTATGACTCAGGAAAGGAGGTGGTTTCTCAGGTCTGCTACAGGCACACAGCTTCGGTGCCCCCTGCATTGCTCTCTGGGGTCTCAATTTCTCTGGCATCTGCACATCAAGGGGCGGGGCTGTTTTATTTTTGTCTTTTGGGGGTGTCATGTAATATAGGCTGTGGAGCTCAGTGTCTGCTGAGGGTGACCTTGAACTCCTAATCCTGACTCCACACCACACCAGCCTGTTGTTATTTACTTAAGGTTCACCAAAGTGCTCCTCCCCCAGGTCTCAGAGTGGGTGTGAGGAAGCTGGTTCATAGTGAGGTCCCATCTCTGATGGATTTCACATGGTAACCACCTTTACAAACCTCAGCTCTGCTGCTCTGCTTGGCTTCCCTTGCTGTCCTTCCCTGGCCCTCCTACCTAGATGCATATGGACTATGATTGCACAATTAGATGAACCAGGGGCTGGAGAGGGCTTGACAGCGCTGTCTGTCTGGAGCAGAAGTGATCAGCTGCTGGGTCCCTGTGGGGTCCCACTCCATTAACGAGCCTGTCTGATAAAGGCCCTGGGCCCTCTCTGCCTGCCACCTAAAACCCTGTGGTTTTGAGTGGACCCCAGAGGTCATTTCCAGATGATTTGAAGTGTTTGACAAAGATGATCTTGTTCCTACCTCAGAAATCAAGAAGGCTTCAGGGGCAAGGGCGAGCATTTGCTCCTGTGCCATTCTGGGCTATGAGGAGCATGCAGCCAAGATTCATTAGGCTTTGGTTGCATGTACAAGACTGAATGACGAGGGTGTGCCCCTTTCTCAAGGGGGACTACTGTTCTAGAGGGGAACCCTAAAGAGGTTCCACCTCCTAATCCCTCACTCTGTCCTTTTCTTGATATAAGACCCATAGTTGTAGAGCCAGTGCCTGTCTTGGGGCCCTAGGGGCAGAGAGTATGACAGTTGCGGGAGTCCTTGTTTTATGGACAGAACGACAGGCACACCATAGGCAGCCCGTGCTGGGAGTGGGTGCCCAGGGCTTCCTCTACATAGGCCTGTGTGGACACTCATGTAGGAAGGGCTTCCTCTGAGGACTCGGCCGGTAGTGTTCTAAGGGTTCCACAAAGGACGAGGTGCCCACCTATATCCAGTTGCAGGTGTGTGCTACAGAAAATCCCAGCCATTGGGCTGGGTCCAAGGCACAGGTTTCCTCAGTGAACGCAGACCAGCGCCCTCTGCTGGCCAGAAAGCCAAGGTGTCTGGGGTACCAGGGATTGTTATTCCTTGGCCTGAAGTGGTTCCCTCTCCCATCTTATCTCTGTGGTCCTCAGAAAGGACTGCCCTAAAGAGCATCACTCTGGGATGCTCGCTGCTGGAGCTGAAGCTGGCTTAAGGGTCACACCTCTCTAGTGTCAGACAAGACTATGCAATAATACCCCCCCCACATACCAGACCTGATCCCTGCCCGAAACTTGAAAACCAGCTTGGCTTGAGGCTGCCTGTCTGTCCATCTCCTACAACCCAGTGAACTCCTGGAGGGTGATGCCCAACAGCTGGATGAATAGTAGGCCAGAAGGCAGCACAGGACATTAGTGTGGCCAACAGTGCCCTCAGGAGGCCAGCTTTTCTTAGATACCCTGCACAGCAGCGGCTCCCAACCTTTGGGTCTGGACCCCTGGGGGTGGGGGCTGTTGAAAAACCCGTTCATAGGGACCACATATCAAATATCCAGATTATCAGATATTTATATTAGCAGAACTTAATTCATAACGATTGCAAACTGAATTATAAAGCAGCATACAAAAATATTTTTATGATTGGGGTCACGGTACTTAGGAAGGTTGAGAACCACTGGCCTAGGGACAAGGCCCTTCCGTGTCTGTATCCCGAGCCCTGCTGGGTCCCTCTCCATCAATAAGCCTGCTTTACAAAGGCCCTGGGCCCTCTCTGCCTGCCACCTAAGACACGGTGCTGTTTAGAGAGGGTTCCAGAGGTAATTTCCAGATAATTTGAAGTGTTTGACAAAGATCATCTTGTCCCCACACCCCTCCCCAGGCTGTGATCTCAAAACACTTACTCTCTCATTAAGATGGGGTCTTGGAAGCCAGGTGTGGTGGCATAAGCCTTTATTCCCAGCACTCGGGGACACATAGGCAAGCGGACCATTTTAAGTTCAAGGCCAGCTTGGTCTATAGAGGGTCCAGAACAGCCAAGGATACATAGAGGAAAATCCTGTCTCCCAAACCCAGAGATGAGGTCTTGGAGTCCCACACAGCCTCACGCAGCAAACACACACATGGTGGGGTAGGTCTTTATTTGTGGGGTCCCAGCAGGCCCAGCCATGTTGCCTATGGCGGGAATGGGCAGTCCCATACAGGGGAGCAAGTGGTGGCAGGTCAGCTTGCCCTGGCCTCTCCCTCATGACCAAGGACAGGCCCCATTTCCCCACTCCACAGGGCTGCAGTGACACGCTTGAAAGGGAAGGAAAAATAAAAACAGAACCCCCTCAGGAATGGGCTCTGCAGAGACCCTCATTTAGTTTAAACTAGAGACAGGGGTGCTGCAGGCGGCTCATTTCTTCCAGGTGGGCTCTCTGCAAGGTGAGGCTTCTTCACCTGGGCTGGGACAGGGAGTCAGGCTGGGTTGGCTCAGGTGGGGACGGGATGGGACACAGTAGTGGAGGCAGACGCTGAGGTCAGGCACCCTGGCGCTCCCCCACCTGCCCTGCCACTCAGGTGGCGTTCCTCTGGCGTACATTCTTGTCCTTGTCATTCAGGTGATGCCCGCTGCCCTTCCTGAGGATACAGAAAAGGGCTCAGGTCCTTGAAGGGCACAAGGCTAGACTCAACCCCAGTGGAAGGATAGTCTGCAACCTGGCCATTGCTCCAACAGCAACCACCCATCCTCCCTGAACCCACCCAGGCCTCCCCTCCCATATTGGTAGGACAACCGTAGCTCCCTGGAGCCCATGATGAGCTGGACTTACAGCGGGGCGGTGCCGGGGTCATCCTCTGTGAAAACGAGCAGCCACATGGAAAGAGAGGACAGGTGTCAGTGCCCACCAGTCTCTTCCAAGGCAGAGCCTTTTGGCTGGGGAGTCAGCTGCAGCCCCTCAGTCTGGTTTGCTTGAACCTTGCCCCACACTGCCACCCTCATGGTGCTGCAGGTGTCATGACCTGGTGACCAGCACATGGTGAGGCCCACACACCCTGCATTCCGAGCTCGACGTGAGCTGCAGCTAAAGGCAGCACAGAGAAGAGCTCCCCACACAGGACACCCACCTGTGGCCAAGTGAGGGAGGAGAGCGGAGGGTGAGCTATGAGCAGACCCTGTTCTCCCTCTGGGCAACGCACTGAGGGGTGCCCTACCCACTCACTCAGACCCAGGGCTGCTCACCGTCCAGGGTCTGGTCTGGCTTCCGCCGCTTCTCATAGATAAAGATAATGGTGACCAACACCAGGACCTCGGCCACAATGCCCAGGAAGGGCCAGAGGGCAGCCAGGCGGCTGCGCACACGCAGCGTGATGGTCTCCTGCACACTGCCCTGGGAGTTGGTGGCGTTACACGCATAGGTGCCGGCGTCAGTATTCATGTCCAGATTGCTGATGGTCAGCTCTGTCTTCTCAGGTGTGGAACGCACAGCATACTTGTAGTCAGAGGTATTAGTGATGGGCTGGGAAGAGAGACTTGTCATGTCCTGCCATGGCCTTTCCTTCACTGTTCCGGGAGCCCCTCTGCCATCCCCGCAGCCTCGTGCCTTGTCCCGGAAGCCCCACATCCCCACCCAAGTGCTCAAGCCCTGTGTCCCTTCTGTGACATTCCGAATCCCTACTGTCTCCAGCACAGCCTTTGACTGTGTCCCACTGCACCCCTCTGCCACCCTCTCTATGTCCAAAACCCCTGTTTCTACTGCAGCCCTCTCCTGCCCCTTGGCACCGCTCAAAACTCCATGTCCCCAGTCACAGCCCTCACCTTGTCCCCAGAGTCAGAGATCTTAAACCACGCCCACTCATTGATAGGAGGGTGAGAGGAGTCAGACTTGCAAACCAGCTTCGCAGTCTCTCCCTCGCTGCCATGCTCTGACTTCTTTACACTCCTGATCCGGGGTAGCCCTGTGAGGATGAGGAGGGAGCCTGATGCCCAAGAACAGAGCCTGTCCTCAGCCCAACACCAGCCCCTGGCCTGCACACAGCTACCTCCTGGTCCCCCACAGCTCACCCTCCACGTCGATGTCACTTCTGCCCACAGGCTCAGGGAGAAAGATGCAGGAATATGTACCAGAGCGGTCATGTGTGTCCACCCTGCAGGGGGCAGAACGGTAGTGGAAGGAGCCATCTCCACACCCAGGCTCTCCGTGTAAACCACAGGACCTTGCTTTCCCCCACACTACACCGTGAGGCCGTGTGGCCAGTCCAGAGCTGTGTGGAGCCTGGCACAACTCTGTTAGCACTGAGGCAGCTCCAGACAAAAGGGTTCCAAATTCCCCATGGGCTACGCTTTGTGGGATGGCACCATGGACTCACGTGTACTGCATCTGCAGGTCAGGCAACGTGTCCTCCTGCAGCACTTGGCCACCTCTCATCCAGCGGTGGCCAACAATGTCGACGCCACTGCTGTTCAAAGAGCAGGTAAGGTGTGTCTTGGAGCCGACGTCACGGACAGAGGTTGTGATGGTGCCCGCTGAGAAGCCACAGGGAGATAGTCAGCTCAGCCCACAGCCTGTCTCCGCCCTGACAGGGTCTGCTTCTTGAATCACAGTGCTCGACGCTCTGCAGCCTCAGCCTTCTTTTTTGAGACAGTCTCTCTGTATAGCCTGGCTGTCCTGGACTGGCTTTGTAAACCAGACTTGCCCTGAACTCATAGAGATCTGCCTGCCTCTGCCTCTCTGAGTGCTGGGATTATGAGCGTGTGCCACCCTGCCGGGCAGCCCCAACCTTCTAAGGCAAGCTGATGTCCCACTAGAAATAATTTCCAATGCCCTGCCTGCTACTCCTACAGATACAGGGTTTAAGGGTAGCACTATGCCTAACGCCCCACATAACAAAACCACATAGGTGCCTCACATTCCCTTCACTGATATTTGACCAGCACTCAGAACTGGAAACAAGGCCCAAAGGGTCCTGGGGAGGTTGGACCCTCAGGCTGCAGTAAACAGTCAGCGCAAGCACTTGGACAGCAGACCCCCACCCCCACCAGACAAACACACAAGGAGGCTGTGAGCCAGGAGGGCAGGTGCATAGAGCAGACCAGGATGGGAGGTCAGGGTGGAACACCACAGACCAAAGGCCTGGGATGTGAGCTGAGGACCCACCTGCAGGAGGGCTGGCTACCCTGCATCCAGCAAGGGCACATCAACGAGTGTCCAGCCCACCCATGTCCCAGGTGGGCCTCAGTAAGTGGTAGGGCAGCATCTGGTTCTACGGAAGTGGGAGCCAGGGTTGGATGGCACAAGAGGTAAACAGAAACAGGTGCCCTGGCCACTCACGTTCAAGGACCACCACGCTCGCCTGGGCACGGACCCACTTGACCCTGGGTGGTCGGGTCAGGTGGTTGCGATCAGGGTCACTGCTGGCCCGGCACTCATAGGTGCCTGTGTCCTCTGCGGCGAGCCCATCAACAGACAGCGTGCTGACTGCATGCTGGCGGTAGGCAGCATGGATGTGAATTCGGTCCAGCCGGGCGCCATCCCAGAGCTGGGAGCAGTTGTCGTTTGGATCATTCCCTTCAAACCACCACTGGATCTCAGGGATAGGGCTGCCCACAGCCTCACAATGCAGGACCACGGTGCCCCCCGCCCACCGCTCCTGGGACAGCGGCGCCTTGAGGAAGCCAGCTATGGGAGAGGTTAGTACCCGTTACCACAAGGGAGGAGAAACAGGCAGAAAGGACAACTGCCAGGGCCTGCCACAGGACCAAGTCTGGGGCCAACATGACAAACTCCATTTCTCTGCTTGCAGGGAGAAGTATGAAGTTAGATGGAAAAGCAAGCCCAGGACAGCCAGGGCTGTTACACAGAGAAACCCTGTGTTTAAACAAAACAAAAAAAACCAAGAACAGGAGCCAGGTGTTGTGGCTCAACTGTAATTCGACCACTCAGGAGGTCTCGGCAGGATTGCTAGGAGTTCCAGGTCTGAGGGGCTACGTGGTTAAAGTTGTCTCACTAACAAAAAAATTAAGATAGGGCCTCTCAGCGTTTCATAGGGGCCTGGACACTTAGACATATGTGCCAGGGGGAGGCAGGTCTCTGCATGTCTACACAAGGTGTGGATATCTGAAGGCATGAGTTTGGGGCCTGAGGCCCTATACTGGGGGGTGGGGCCAAGATAAGCAGCTGCCCCAAGGCCCCTGGGGTACGGAAGCCAGTTGGCAGCTCTGGTGGAGGAATGGCTTCCTGATAACCTACATTCCAGAGTTCCTATCTCCCAGACTGCCTGACCTGCAGCTCCTGGCAAGTAGGTCTGCTGAGCGAGGGGGCCACAGAGTGGACTTTCCTTTGGCTCCCTTCCTGTTCACTGAAGGCTCCACAACGTCTGTATCAACACCATTTCATCTAGGACTGGAAATCAGAAAAGACAGGTGCCCCCAGGACCCCAGTCTCACCTGGGTTTCTGAGTAGACACTATGGGTGTCATCTACCTGGGACATGGCTGCCATGTGCCATGGACCACAAGCCTAATGGTCACATGCTAGGTCTTTCAGGAATGCAGGGTGCCCTGTGGTATGCCCTGTCACCCACCTCCCCACATGGGCCCTCTGGAAAGGTACCATCTGTAAGGCTCAGGGGCGACCAGTTCCTCTGACCCCACCTCAGGAGCCTCCACAGAGCCTGGAGAAGTCAAGCTGGGAGCCTGGCCATGTGATCTGTAGCACACAGATTCCAGCCGTCACCTCAGTCTAAAAACAGCGCCCCCTCCCTGCCCACTCACAGCTGGGTGGGAGCAGGGCCAGACTGGGCCGTGAGGTAAACAAGCCAGCACAACAGGGTGCAGGGAGGGGGCACGGCTGCGGAGGGCAGTCCACACCCATCCTCCTGCTAGGCAGGGCTGGCCCCGGCTGTACTCTCACCTGAGGTTCCAGGGTTAAGTCAGACCTGGATGACCACAGGGGCACCCATGTGAGCAAGACACCCTGCAGGAGTGTCTGAGTTGGCCTGGCCAGGGAGGCCAAGCTGGCCACTCTCTCAGAAAAAGAGGTGCATTCCTGCTGTGTGAAGTCGGGGCGTGGAGCGCTTTCACCAGCCTGTCAGAGGCCCTGGCATCAAACCACAGCCTCACACAACCAAGACAGATGTGCCCAGCCCTGAGGTGAGGCCCCATCACCACACTATGCAAAAAAGGATTGTCCATGCCACACAGGGTCTCTGAGCAGAGCCCCTAACGCTGTACAGTGAAAACCAACACATGGCAGGCCAACCTGGGCCCCGAACAGGCTGTGGGTGGTGGCAGTGGGCATGTTCCCAGGAAGGGCTGGGATTAGCCTCTAGGCTACACTTTTTGCTTGGCTCCTGGGCATGCCTGCTTGAGCGCAGGCAGAAAGGCACTGGGCCCATGCCCAGCCAGGGTGGCTGACTCCAGCCAGGCTCCCCACCCCATACAGAGCAGCAGCTTATCGGCTGCACCCACCTTGTGGGGTGGGGGCACAGCTATCTACACCCAGGTGAGTTAGAGGGACTGGAAAAAATGGGTCAGGATTAACCCTGGGCAGTACTGCCAGGCACTCCCCCTCCTGCACCTACTGGTGATGGGAGGGGGGGGAGCGCGTGCGTCCCATTTCTCCAGCCAAGCTCTGGTTCTGCCCTTTGCTTGCTGTCTGGAGTAGGCAGGAGAGCAGTCCATGTGCTCTCGGCCTGCCACACTGCCTTCCTTGACCAACCTTGCCATGACCTTGAATACCTCCTTTCTCCACCTGGACCTCAATTACCCTTTTGAACTTCAATCAGGCAAAGACCCAAGGCAGGAATGGGCCAGACTCCAGGGTGGGAGCAAGCTGAGTGTGCTGGGCCTTAGCCACCGGAAATCCCATCAAGAATGATAATCCAACAGGTCCCCGGGCCTGTGGTCCAGGGCCATTCACAGGCACTCATTCCCAGGGACAGAAACTACCATTCCCCCCAACCAACTTCACATATATGACACCAGGGCAATGACTCCACTCACTCCTCCGAGCCTAGGACACAACATTCCCAGGCACTCTGTACCCTCTAAGTCCACAGGTCAACTCTCAGCCCCTTCCCAATCCACATCCTCTGAGCTGGACTTAAAGGCTTTGCCGACTTACTCTCATTCTCAGGTTCCCTGAGCGGTGCTGTACCCTTCACTGAGTAGAAACAGTGTGGCAGATTCTCTACCCTGACCCCTACGATGTCAGGCATCACTGTCCCCAAGACTCCCCAAGATTGTGTCCCAACTTCTCCCCCAGGGTGGAGAACCATTACCCTCACATTATAACGTCAAGGACAATGTCTCCAAAATTCCCAGTCACTTAACTCTCACCCACATGTCCAAACTTGGGGAGTCACCTCCAGGCACTTCTGTATCCCAAATCTGCCTGGTCCCCCAAGCCCGGGCACACTGAAATGGCAGTTCCTTCCACTCTAGTCCCTCCAATCCTGGGAGATAACCTTCTCTCAGGAAAGGCGGCCTCTCATTCTCCCCAGGTAGTGACACCAAAGTGGCAGACCTAACTCCATGCCCACCCCCAAGTTAGGGACCGTCACTCCCCCTCTGTTCCCTGAGTGGGGACACTAAGACTGCAGCTCCTTCCACTTCCTGGTCTCTCAAACTAAGGGGTCATTTTCTGACATGTTCCCTAGGTGGGGACTTCCCCAAGACCCCAGCTCTCTCCATTTCTGATGGGAAGTTACCTACCTGCAGCACTGCGGTCACCCGAGTCCCACAAACCATCCCCAGGTGTCCCACAATTCCCTCCTGTCTGGGTTTACTTTCCAGCCCTGGCTCTCAGGTGGGGGCTCTTCAGCATCGTGGCCTCTTCTTTCATCCCCGTGCTCCCAGGCCCCTCCATCAGGAGGAAATCAATCTCCACGGCCCCCTCCCAGCCTTGTTACCCAGGTGGAGACACCCTCCACTCAACCTTGGTGATGGTGCCCCAAAGCCTTACCCCCAGCCTCGGGGTCACCTCTTCCCACCCCTTCCCCACTCCCTGAAACCTAGTACCCCCAAACCTCCAGGGTCACTTGTTGGTCCTATTCCGAGAGTTGAGACAGTAAAGCAGCGGCTCCCTTTAACTCCAGCTGTCCCAAATCAGGGGTCATTTCCACCCACTTCTGTAGTACTCCAAATCGCCCAAGCCCAGGTGGGGAATACCGCAAGGTGGCAGTTCCCTCCACCTTAGAATGTTTCCCCAGAGCCCAGCAGACCCCTAATTTTGGATTTATCTGTCCCTACAATCACCTCCCTCCACCTGGTAGCCCAGTCGAGGTCTGAGGTCAATTCAAGGGTCATCCACGGCCACTGTTATTCCTCCACAAATCCCCGAGCCCGAGTAGAGAACCAAACTGTGGCTCCCTACCCCTTCAGGACCCCAAATCTGTGGCTAAACCTAGGCCCGTTGCCCCCAGCCCCAGTCCCAGCACCCCAGTCTTACCCGCCGCCAAGGCGCCTTGGCCTCCCAGGAGCGTGAAGCCCAGCGCCAGCAGCAGCGCGGCCGCCATGTCGCCTCGTCCAAGCGGGGGCCGGCTGCGGCTGTATAAGAAGGCGGAGAGGGCGGGGCGCGCGCTCACGCACGCATGCACGCAAGGACGCACGCACGCGCGCGGCGTCGCGGGGCGGGGCGGCGGGCGCACAGCGAGCAGGCACGTACCCAGCATCAGCCGCTCCTGCGCGCGCACTGAAGAAGCAGAACCGGTGGCTGGGAAGCACTGGCACGTGACCGTACGGGCCACGCCCACGAGGGGGTGAACCGTGGATGGTGGACCGCCCTTGTGGAGCCAAGTTTTCTCTTTTTTGTTTTGTTTTTGAGACAGAGTTTCTCTGTGTAGCCCTGGCTGTCTTGAAACTCCATCTGAGCCAGTTTGGTGGCGCACATCTTTGATCCCAGCACTTGGGAGGCAGAGGCAGGCGGATCTCCGTGAATCCAACAAAGTGAGTCCAGGACAGCCAGGGCTACACAGAGAAACCCTGTCTCAAAAAACAAAAGCAAACAAAACTACGTATTTACTTGTTAATTTATTTATGTGTGTGTGTAACATATGAATGCAGGTACCACAGAGACCAGAGAGGGCCCCTGATCCCCTGGAGTTGGTGTTGTGGACCTGATGTGGGTGCTGGAGTCTGAACTGTGGTCCTCTGGAAAAGCAGCAATTATTCTAAGAACCATCTCTCCAGCAGAAGCTTGTTTTTATTTGTTACTGTTTTAAATTTTATTTTTGCCTTTTTTGTTTAACTTATTTTTTGTCGTGGACATTTTGTCACAATTTGGGGGTTTTGTTTGTTTGAGAAAGGTTTTCACTGTGGAGCCTTGGCTGGCCTGGAGTTTACTAGGTAGATGAGGCTAGCCTGATACTCACAGAGAGCCACCTGCCTCTGGCTCCTGTGCTGGGATTAAAGGCATGTACTGCCCTTGATTGTGACGCTCGCCTTTAATCCCAGCACTCCGAAGGCAGGGGCAATTGGATCTCTTGAGTTCGAGACCAGCCTGGTCTACAAAGTGAATTCAGGACAGCCAGGGCTACACAGAGAAACCCTGTCTCAAATCAATAAACAAACAAAAGTGGGAGGAGGGAGTAAGCAGGGGTTTGGCAGTAGCTTCAGGGGTCAGTCAGCAGCTCCACTGAGGGGATGTTCAGGAAACCAGGGGCTTGGGAATGTCCAGGCAGGCCCCAGCCGTGGCCAGGGGTGACAGATGAGTACAGGAGCAGGACAAAGCCTGGTGTCAGAGGGGCCAGGACTCAGTGGTAAATCACTCCGGGCCTGGTGACCCACATACCCAGCAGCAGCTGCCTCTCAGAGGCTCGGAGGCCTCACACTGCCCAGAATCCCCAAAGCATCTATGGAGAGGCCCTTCCAAGCTACGTGCAGAACTAGGACGAGGCAGGGGAGCTGCCAGCTGGCATCAAAGGGCCCTTAGGGTCAAAACAAACAAGGCTGGGCTGAGTGGAATTCCTCACCCCCTGGGAAATTTCAGGTTGGCCGGGAAGCCCAGCCCCCTCCCAGGCTTGGCTTTCTAGAGTCTTCCCTGACCCTACACGGCCTGCAGCTTTCTGAAGTCCTTTCCCCTGACTCCATCCTAGCCGCCTGACCTCCCACGACTAGCTTCTGGAACAGCCAGGATTAGCAGATAACATGGAAAGCCCGGGATGGTGGTACATGCCTGTCATTCCAGCACTTGGTGTAAGCCGGAGCACTAGGAGTTCAGTGTCCTTTGGCAAAAAGTCAGTTTGATGCTATTCTGGGCTACAAGAGACCCCTGTCAAAACCAAACCAAACCGAAAAACAAACCAAAAAAAAAAAAAAAAAAAAAGGAAAGGGGGCTGGAGAGATGGCTCAGCTGTTTAAGAGTACTGACTGTTCTTCCAGAAGACCCAGGTTTTATCTCCAACACCCACATGGCAGCCTACAGCCTTCTGGAACTCCAGTTCCAGGGGAGCTGATGCCTGCCTCTGGTCTCTTCAGACAGCAGGCATGCAAGTGGTACACCAACATGCATCATACAGGCAAAATAGACGTGCACGTAAGATTAAACTAAACAAGAAAAGAACTAGCTGGGCAGTGGTGGCGCGCGCCTTTAATCCCAGCGCTCAGGAGGCAGAGGCAGGCGGATCTATGTGAGTTCCAGGCCAGCCAGGGCTACTCAAAGAAACCCTGCTTCAAAAAACAAAACTGTTGTAACCTCCTTAAATTCTATAGCCTCTCGGTTGAGACCTACTTTAGTTTCGGGTTTTTTCGTTTGTTTTTTGGTTTTTCAAAACAGGGTTTCTCTGTGGAGCCTTGGCTGTCCTGGACTTGCTCTGTAGACCAGGCTGTTCTCGAACTCACAGAGATCTGCCTGCTTCTACCTCCCTGAGTGTGTGCCACCATGCCTAGCTTTTTTTTTTTTTTTTTTTAAATATGCATTAGTGTAAAGATTAGTGTAAAAGATCCCTTGGAATCAGCATTGCAGACTGTTGTGAGCTGCCATTTGGGTGCTGGGAATTGAACCCAGGTCCTTTGAAAGAGCATATATATAGTGCTCTTAACCACTGAGCCTTCTCTCCAGTCCTTTCTTTTTTTCTTTTTTTCTTTTTTTTTTTTTTTTTTGAGACAGGATTTCTCTGTGTAGCCCTGACTGTCTTAGACTCCCTTTGTCTACCAGGCTCAAACTCAGAGATCCACCTGTCTCTGCCTCTCAGAGTACTAGGATTACAGGCATGGACAGGTTACCATGCCCTGGCTCTACTTTAGTTCTTAGCATAGCTGTACTCCTCTGTTAACACCAATTGTCTTTAGCACATCAGAAGCCATTTTGCCTCCAAGTCTTTATTTTGATCATAAGGTGAAATTTAAGTTCAAGTTTTCAGGCCCTACGTGCCTGAGACTAGGATACAATTCAGTAGTTCAATACTTGCTGCTTAGAATACAACAATAGATGATAAATGCATAGTCAGCTTGAGTTAAAGTTGAATGTGTGTTCTGTTGGAGTTAAGACCACAACATCCTGCTACGTTCCTTACTCCCAGAAAGCTGGAAAGCCCCCAAGAGCTCCCCTACCCTAAATCCCAGACAATCAGCTTAAAGTGCTTTGTCTAACTACCCAGATACAATACAATACACTTGGAACAAAATCGATCAAGTTTAGCAAGTCAAAATGATGTAATGCTGCCTCCTGCCTTCCTATTCCTGGTTACCTGGTTGTTACCTTGTTTTGTATAAAAAAAAAAAAAAAAAAAACCTGCCTTGGAAACAGACCTGTGTCGTAGTCTGGCTCCTGAGCCCAGATCATGGCCCTGACTGGTCAGTCTTTCTTCAGTATTCAACAAACTTGCATCAATCTGAGCCTGGTGTCTGAACGGTCAGTGTGCGGCTATTCCTGAACCGTAACAAAAACAAAAGGGGGGAGGGAAGGAGAGAATAAACGCACAAACCAACCCATGAAATTTCAATGTCATAACTTTAAAATTTAGATTTGTTTTTTAGGGTCTTTTTCACCCACTGTTTGCAACATACATATATTAAGATCCCTCTGCTCTCTATTTAAAGCTCAGGACGTTTTTGTGGTTGCTGCTTTGATTTTTGGATTTTTGTTATTGTTATTGTTTTCTAACACGGGGTTTCTCTGTGTGTCCCTGGCTGTCCCAAAACTCACTCTATGTAGACCAGCCTGGTTCTGAACTTACAGAGATCCTCCTGCCTCTGCCTCCCTAGTGCTGGGATCAAAGGCACTTGACACTGACACCATCATTCCCCGCTAAAATTCAGGATTTTAAATTTAATTTTGTTTTTGTGCTGTGCTGGAGATGAAATCCAGAGATTCACATGCTAGTCAGGAGCCCTGCCACTGAGCCATGCCCCCAGACTGGGGAATTTGAGGCAGGTGCGCTACCCACCCCACCCCTGGGACACTCATTCCCTCAGCCCTGATGAGGTCTCCTTAAGTGACAAAAAGACACCCAGCAGAATCCAAGCAGCGGCAGGGGATGAGGTTGAAGTGCTCAGGCCTCAAGCCCTGGAGAGCGGGAGTCCCTGACTCTGGGAGAGGAAGGAAGGGCCCTCCCAGGCACCACCTGCGTAGCTCAGGGACCAGAACTCTGGCTGCAGATGAGAGAGCCCAGCCAGGTCTTTTTGTCGGAAGCTTTGTGTGAGCCTTTGACTGGCCCACCTGGTGCGGGCTCTTCTGAGATAGGAAGCAGTAGCCCACAGAAGACACGCCAGGCGCCAGGGCAGCCCAGCCCTAGGAAGGCTGGCCACCTGTGTGTGTTCTGGGTGTGGCGGCAGCTCCCTGGCTCTCCCAGCCCCCACCTGCTTTCCCCTCACTCCACGGAGATATAGGTGTAAAGTATGCAGGTTGTTTGGCTGCTTTATTTTTCTGTTTGTATGTATGTATTTTCCAGACAGGGTTTATCTGCGTAGCCTTTGCTGTCCTGAAACTCAGTCTATAGACCAAGCTGGCCTCAAATTCACAGAAATCCACCTGCCTCTGCCTCCTGAGTGCTGGGACTAAAGGCGTGCTCCACCACCGCCCAGCTTTATATTTTTTAACTTTCTGTTTTCTGTTTTTGTGTTTTTACTTTAATTCTTAAAAAAAAAAAAATATGAATTTCTGTGTGAGTGCTCTATCTGCATGTAGACCTGTATGCCAGAAGAGGGCATCACATCCCAGTATGGATGGTTGTGAGTCACCATGTGGTTGCTGGGAACTGAACTCAGGACCTCTGGAAGAGCAGACAGTGCTCTTAACTGCTGAGCCATCTCTCTAGCCCTTTACAAAGAATTCTTCTTATTACTGTGCATTTGTATATAAACAAGTTTTACTTAATTTTATGTCTATATGTGTTTGCCTTCATGTATGTGTGTGTGCCTCATGTGGGTTCCCAGGGAGGTCAGAAGGGGGCACTGGATCCCTAGAACTGGAGTTATGGAGGGCTGTGAGTCACCTTGTGCTGAAAATGGAACCTGGGTCCTGTGTGAAAGCAAGTGCTCTTAGCCACTGAGCCACTTCTCTAGGCCTTTCTTCTTTTCTTTTCCTTTTGGCTCAGAGTCTCTCGCGGTTTTCATGCCAGCCTAA